CAGATATCAGATTTAGGTTTACCTAAGTTCTTTAGTGCTTTTAAAGCTTTACTGAGGTGTAGTTTATGTATCAGAAATGGCATATATTTAAATTCTGCATTTTCGATATAACATTTTAAGCCATTATAATATTCAAGGTACTAAGTAATTCTATCAAACCCTACAGATTCTTGTGGCCCTATTAGTATACACCCTTCACTATCCCGTTCACAAGCAAAAACTGATCAGATCTGTGCCACCATTGATGACATATTACATAATTTTATAAAAATATAAAATATGCAAACTTTTCTTTCTGTCCTTTTATTCTAGAAAATGATTTTGAATTTTTTTCATGTTGTATATAGCAATAGTTTGTTCCTATTGCTGATGAGCAGTATTCCATTGTAGATATATACCATAAATTGTCTATTCTCCTATTGATGACAGTTATTAAACATAGTTTCTCTGTAGGCACACATGCAAGTCTCTTAAACATGTTTTCATTTCTCATGGTAGTGAATTACCAAACTTGTTTCCAAATTGGCTTATGATGTATATTGGCTTATGTCACAGTACACAGTGACTCTTTTTATTTTTAATTTTAATTTATTAGAATTTTTTTAATTCAAGGATAATTAACATACAGTATTTTATTAGTCCCAAGTGTACAAACTAATGATTCAACAATTCTCTGTTTCTCAGTGCTCACCAAGATAAGGATACTTATTTTTTTTAAATAAGGATACTCTTAACCCCCTTTATTTCACCTATTCCCCTCACCCACCTCCCCTTTGGCAGCCATCAATTTGTTCTCTGTATTGTATTGAAGTTGTTTTTTAGTTTCCCTTTTTCTTTGTTTCATTTGTTTTTCTTTGTTTTAATTCACATATGAGTGAAATAATATATTTGTTTTTTGCTGACTGACTTATTTTACTTAGTATTATACCCTCTAGGTCCATCCATGTTGTTGCAAATTGCAAGATCTCATTCTTTCTTATGACTGAATCATATTCCATTGTGTGTGTGTATGTGTGTGTGTGTGTACCACTCTTCTTAATTCATCTTTCAATGGACTCTTGAGTTGTTTCTATATATTGGCTATTGTAAATAATGCCGCAGTAAACATGGAGGAGCATATATCTTTTTAAATTAGTGTTTTGATTTTCTATGGGAACATACCTAGTAGTGGAGCTAATAGGTCATATGGTACTTCTATTTTTTATTTTTATTTTTGAGGCAACTTTATACTGTTTTCCATAGTGGCTGTGCCAGTTTGCATTCACACTAACTGCACAATTGTTCCTCTATTTCTTGGGTTTCTTTTTTTTTTCAGTTTGGTCATTCCAACAGGCATAAGGTAATAATATTTCATTGACCTTTGATTTATATATCTCTAATGATTAGAGACATTGGATATCTTTTCATGAGTCTGTTGACCATCTGTATGTCTTTTTTGGAAAATGTTCAGATTCTCTGCTAATTTTTTAATTAGATTGTTTGTATTTTTGTGTTGAGTTGTATGCTCTTTATATATTTTGGATACTGACCCCTTATCAGATGTATCATTTACAAATATCTTCTCCCATTTAGTAGGTTCCTTTTGTGTTTTGTTGATGGTTTGCTTCACTGTGTAAAGCTTTTTATTTTAGTATAGTCCAATAGTTTACTTTTGTTTTTGCTTCCCTTGCCAGAGAAGACATATCTAGAAAAAAAATGTTCCTATGGCCAGTGTCAAAGAAATTATCACCTTTGTTCTCTTCTAGGTTTTTATTATTTGAAGCCTCACATTTAGGTCTTTAATCCATTTCGAGTTTATTTTTATGTTTGGTATAAGAAAGTGGCCCAGTTTTTATTTTAATTTTTGCATGTAGCTGTCTAGTTTTCCCAGCTGGGAAAATAGTTGAAGAGACTGTCTTTGTCACAAGGTGGTATTTTTATATGTTCAGGATTCAAATTTTGGCTATTGAAATAATTTCTATCATAATAGGTTAGACAAGGTCTGCATCCCACTTCACCCATCTGTAAAATGGGGATAAAAATATAACCCAATTTAAAGGTTGATATGAATAAAACTAATAATAAACATGAAGTATAAAATAGAGTGATTGGAAACATTAAATGTTCAAGATTGCATTATGAATATTATCAATTTCATGGCATGACCTAATTGGTAGATTGTGGAAAATAAAACTCTATTTGAATTATCTTCTTTTTTAAAGTTTATTTATTAATTTGAGAGAGAGACAGAGATAGAGCAGGGGAGGGGCAGAGAGAGGAAGAGAGAGAATCCAAAGCAGCAGACAGCACAGAGCCTGATGAGGGGCTTGATCCCATGAATTGTGAGATCATGAACTGGTTTTGGTATCAGGGTAATGCTGGCCTCATAGAGTGAATTTGGAAACTTTCCTTACTTCTCTATTTTTTGGAATAGTTTAAGAAGAATAGGTGTTAAATATTTGGTAGAACTCACCTGTGAAGCCATCTGGTTCTGGAGTTTTGTCTGTTGGGAGTGTTTTGATTACTGATTCAATTTTATTGCTGGGAATCTATCTGTTAAAATTTTCTGTTTTTTCCTAATTCTGTTTCAGGAGGGAATATGTTTCTAGGAATTTATCCTTTCTTCTGGTTGTCCAATTGGTTGGCATACAATTCTTCATAATATTCTCTTATAATTCTTTGTATTTCTGTTCCATTGTTTTTAATTCCCTTTTCTTACCAAGAAGTATTAATTTTGTTGATCTTTTCAAGGAGCCAGGTCCTCTCTCATTGCTCCATTCTATTTTTATTTTTTTTTAGTTTCTGTTTATTTCTGATCTAGTCTGTATTATTTCCTTCCTCTTAATGCTTTTGGGTTCTTCTTTTTCTAATTCCTTTAAAATCTCTTTTTCCAGTGTTTATCCATTTTGAGAGGGGGGTGAGGAGGGGCAGAGAAAGAGGGCAACACAGAATCCAAAGCAAGCTCCAGGCTCTAAGCTATCAGCATAGAGCCTGACACTGGGCTTGAACCCACAAACTTGAGATTATGACCTTAGCCAAAGTTAGACGCTTAACCAACTGAGTTGTTTGTTAATAGCTGCTTTATGTATTTAGGCGCTTTCATTTTGGGTGCATAAATATTTACAAATGGTATATCTTCTTGTTAGATTGTTCCTTTTATGATTATGTAGTGTCCTTTATCTTTTGTTATGGTCTTTGTTTAAAGTCTATTTTCTCCAAGGTAATTATCCTACCTTCACTTTTTTTTTTTACTGCATTTGTATGATAAATGCTTTTCCATCACTTTATTTTCATTCTGCATGTGCCTTTATCTGAGACAAGTCTCTTGTAGGCAGGATATAGAAGGGTCTTGCATTTTTATCTGTTTCATTACCCTGTGTCTTTTGATTGAACATTTAGTCCATTTATGTTCAAAGTAATTATTGATAGATATGTACTTATTGTTCTGTGGTTATTTTTATCGTGCTCTTTTCCTTTCTTTTACTCTTTTCTCTTGGAGTTTGCTGGATTTCTTTGGTGATAGCCTTAGATTCCTTTATCTTTACTTGTTTGCATATTTGTTAGTGATTTGTGATTTGTGGTTACCATTATGTTTGTATATAACATTTTAACCATATAGCAGTTTATGTTAAGTTGATCACTTAAATTTGAACCCATTCTAAAAAGTACATTTTTACTTCTACCTGTATCATGTTTTAGGTATATGGTGTCAGACTTTACATTCATTTTGTGAATCCCTTGACTGATTTTTATAGACATTTTTAATTTACTGCTTTTATGCTTCCTACTTCTCTTACTTCTGCTTACGGTCTTTTCTTTCCATTCAAAGAACCCCCTTTAACATTTCTTCTAAGTATGCTTTATTAATGATGATTCATTTAATCTTTGTCTAGGAAATTCTTTCTCTTTCTATTCTGAATGATTGTTTTACTGGATAGAGTATTTTTGATTGCAGGGTTTTTGTTTTGTTTTCCTTTAATCACTTTGAATATATAATGTCACCCCCTTCTGGTCTGCTGCTGAAATACAGCTGATAGCCTTATGGAGCCTCTCTTGTGTGTAACTTTATTTTTCTTGCTGCTTTTATAATTCTCTATAGCTCATTTTGTCATTTTTGTTACTGTGTGTCTTGGTGTGGACCTCCTTATGTTGATTTGCTGGGGGGTGGGATGCCCTTTTGTGCCTCCTTGATCTGGATTTCTGGGTTTTTGTTTGGTTGGTTTTTTTTTCCCCAGATTTGGGAAGTTTCTAGCTATTATTTCTCCAGACACATTTTCTGCCTCCTTTTCTCTCTCTTCTTCTTCTTAATTGCTATAGTTCTTTTGCTTCCTCTAATCTATTTATTCCCTTTATAGTATATTTTTATTTTCAGTTATTGAGTTATCCTTCTCTGATTCGTTCTTTATGTTTTCTATCACTTTGTTGAGGATCTCACTGAGATCCTCCACTATTCGCAATTCCAGTATCTTTATGACCATTACCTGAAGTTCTTTAAAAGGCATATTGCTTATCTCTGTTGATTTAGTTCTGTTGCTATGATTTTGTCCTTTTCTTTCATTTGGGGCATATCCTCTGTCTCTTCATTTGACAAAGTCTTTCTGTTTCTATGTGTTAGGAAAGTCACTTATGTATCCTGTTCTTGCAAGTAGTGACCTTTTGAAGAAGTCCTATGGTATCCTGAAATGCAATATCCCTGTTCATCAGAGCTTGGAGCTTCAGGGATTTCTGTTATGGTTGTGTATGTGCCCTACTCTCGCAGCTGAGTTGTTTTTGCCTTCATTTCAGTCATTTGCCGTGGCTTTCTTTGCCAGTATTGTGAAGGGTTTGTTCTTGTGTAATGTACCGGTCTGGGGCTGCCTTGGATTTGAGTTTGATCAAACCAGGTGTTTGCCAGAGCTACAGTCACACCCAACTGCAGGGTACTATCCCTGTGATGTCCCCCAAGATTTTTTTGTTGCATAATGACTTCAGTCAGACAACATATCTTCCCCCAGTGCTGTGGCTGAAGTCAGATTGGTTTGTGTCCTTATCCTTTCAGGACAAGAGTCACTTTTGGAGTGATGCTGGCACTGCTGTGCTTTGGATGGACTCCTGCCAAGTCTGAGTTGGAAGGGGAAGACTACAAGATAACACAGGGGAAAGGTAAGTGGTATTAGCAACGTTTGCACAGTTTGTTATGTCATTTCTTTAAGGTTAGAGAGTCTTTTTTTTTTTTTTTTTTTAAATCATCCCCTGGGTCTCTCAGAGCAGAGCACACAGATTTTTTAAATCGCAGGTATTTAGCACCACTGATTATAAGAACTCGAGAAGTTAAGCTCCTCTGGTTGTCAAGTCCAACCATGAATATAGGGCTTCGTCTTCCCACTGCAGATCTTCTGTGCCTGGGGTGCGTCATGTGGGTCTGGTCCTCTCCCTTCTCTTTGCCTATAGTGTCCCCCTCTCTCTCAACAGTCTCCTGGGTCAGTTTGCTTCCTGATCATGTCCCTTCCCTTCCTTCCATTTTTGATTTTTGATTTGGCCTCTTCCCTACATTTAATTGTGGAGAATCTGTTCTGTCACTCTTTAGGTCATTCTCTGGGTTATTTACACTGATGTGAGTGTGTGCTTGGGATGAGGTGAGCCTGGGATCTTTCTACTCTACCACCTTCCCCAGAACTCTCTTACGTCATTTTCAAAAGCTGCCTTGATTAGTTACCATTAGAAAGCCCTGACAAGTAATTACTCCCCTAGGTAATACTGAAATTACACTACACTGCATTAAGTACTAGATGCTTTGTATAGTGTTTTAGTGGAAAAAAATAACTTTTATATTAACTAGATGTTTGCAAGGTCTTCTTTAGTTGTCTTGGGAAAGGCTTATGCTGTTACCTTACGCATAGGACAACATCTATTTAATTCATACGTTTACGTGAATAGATTTTACTAATTGAATTCTAGTTCACAATTGATTGTGAAATATTTGTTCAAAAAGTATTAGTGAATGTGAGGTATTGGGAAGATTTTATAAACAAATTCAGCTTTAATTACATAACACACATATATATCTAGTTCCAAGCACTCTTTTAGTTGCTAGGCATGAACAACATATTATTTTTTAATGTTTTTTTAAAATTTGTTTCTGAGGGAGAGACAGTGTGAGCAGGGAAGGGTCAGAGAGAGAGGGAGACACAGAATCTGAAACAGGCTCCAGGCTCTGAGCTAGCTGTCAGCAAGAGCCCGACGCGGAGCTCGAACCCACAAACCGTGAGATCATGACCTGAGCCGAAGTCGGACATTTAAGCAACTGAGCCATGCAGGTGGCCCGAAAACATTATTTCTAATTTCTACACTACTAGTCAGGTGAGTAAAAGAAATATTCTTATAATTTGCATTTTTGTAGTTACCAATCCATTTGAACATCACTTTTTTGTGGTATTTATTGGTTTTCCTCTTCTTCTTCTAAACATATTGTCATATTCTGCAAATTGTCTATTATCTATCTCTGAAATTTGAAAATCATATAATTCAATATTATGATCTTTTGTGTGGTTTATGCCATTTGACTTAGCTTCAGAAATTCTTTTCTCTAGGATGGCTGGGTGGCTTACTTGGTTAAACATGACTCTTGACATTGATTCAGGTCATGATCTCATGGTTTGTGGCTTTGAGCCCCACATTGGGCTTTATGCTGAGCCAAGCCTACTTGGGATTCTCTCTCTTCCTCTCTTTCCATCCCTTTCCTGCTTGCATGTTCTCTCTCTCACTCTCAAAATAAATAAACTTAAAAAATTATTTTCTCTAGAAAAAAATATTGTTTTATATTATTTGTTTTCATTTTATGTTTAACATTTATTTCTTTAATCCACGCAGATTCCACTTTGGAATATTGTACTACCATTCTCTTTAATTTTTTATCTACATTCTTAATCAGTACCAGAATGAGATAAATTATACTGAAATAACAAAAATCTCAAAACCTGAATGACTAAACATAAACAACAAACATCTGTTTCTTATTAACACTACATATACAGCATGGTTCAGAGAAGGAATTCTGTCCATTGTAATATTTCAGAGAGGGTAAGATGATAAAAGTATTACTACCTTAGTAATATTTACAACAGTGCATGAGGGTTCCTTTTTCTCCACTTCCTCGCCAATATTTGTCATTTCTTGTGTTTTTTTAAAATCCATTCTGACAGGTGTGAGATGATATCAGATTGTAATTTTGATTACATTTTCTGCTGATGATTGATTTTGGTCATCTTTTCATGTGTCTTTTGGCTATCTGTCTTCTTTGGAGACATATCTGTTCACATCTTCACATTTATTAATTGGATTATCTGGATTTTAGTATTTAGTTGTGTAAGTTCTTTATATATTTTGTATATAAGATATATCATTTGCAAATATCATTTCAGTAGGTTGCCTTTTTTTGACTGTTTCCTTCTTTTGACTGAAGGTTTTTATTTTTATATAGTCCCAATAGTTTATTTTTGCTTTTATTTTTTATGCCCCTTGCTTAAGGGGACAAATTCAGAAAAATGTTGCTGTGGTCCATGTCAGAGTAATTACTGTCTGTGCTCTCTTCTAGGATTTTTATGGTTTCAGATCTCTTATTTAGGTCCATAATCCATTTTGAGGCGTGTTTGTGGTGTAACAAAAGCGTCCAGTTTCCTTCTTTTGCACGTAGGTGTTTGGTTTTCCCAGAACCATTTGCTGAATATTTTCCCAATGCATATTCTTGTCTTCTTTTTCATGGATCAATTGACCATGTAATAGTGAGCTTATTTCTTGGGACTCTATTCTGTTCTGTTGATCTATGTGTCTGCTTTTGTGTCTGCATCTTTCTTCTGATTACTTCAGCTTCATAGTATATCTTGAAATCTGGGATTGTGATATCTCCAGTTTTATTCTTCTTTTTTCAAGATTGCTTTAGCTATTTGTGGTGTTTTGCAATTCCATACAAATTTTAGAATTATTTGTTCTAGTTCTATGAAAAATGCCGTTGGCATTTTTATAGGGATTGCATATAATCTGTAGATTGCTTTGTGTAGTATGGATATTTTAACAATATTTGTTCTCCTAATCCATGAGCAAGGAATCCATTTGTCATCTTTAATTTCTTTCATCACTGTTTTATAGTGTTTAGAGTACAGGTCTTTCACTTTCTTTGTTAAGCTAGGTATTTTATTATTTTAAGTGCAGTTGTAAATAGGCTTGCTTTCTTAATTTCTGTTCTTGCTATGTCAGTATTAGTATGTAGAAATGCAAAAGACTTCTGAATATTGATTTTATATCCTGCAACCTCACTGAATTCATGTGTAAGTTCTAGTAGATTTTGCTGGAATGTTTAGGATTTTCTATGTATAGTATTATGTCATCTACAAATAGTAAAAGTTTACGTTCTTCCTTACCAATTTGGATTTTTTTTTTATTCTTGTCTGATTTGTAGCTAGGATGTCCAATGTTATGATGTCCAATACTGTGTTAAATAGAAGTGTTGATAGTACATGTACCTGGGTGTCTTAGTTAAGTGACACTACTCTTGATTTCAGCTCAGGTCACAATCTTGTGGTTCTCGAAATCAAATCCTATTCTAGGCTCTGTGCTGACAGCATGGAGTCTGCTTGGGATTCTCTCCTCCCCATTTCTCTCTGCCCCTTCCCTGCCCTCTAAAAATAAACTAATTATTTTAAGTTGTCAGTGGTTATCTTTGCCTTGTGCTGGACCTTAGAGGAAAAGCTTTCAGTTTTTCCCCATTGAAATGATGTTAGCTGTGGGTTTTTCATATATGGCCTTTATTGTGTTGAGGTATATTTCCTCTAAACTTACCTTGTTGTAGAATTTTTTTTATCATGATGAATGTTTTACTTTGCCAAATGCTTGTTCTGCATGTATTGAAGTGATCATGTAGTTTTATCCTTTCTCTTGCTCATGTGATGTATCACATTAATTGATTTACAAATATTGAGCCACCCTTGCAACCCAGGAATAAATCCCACTTCATTGTGGTGAATGACTTTTTACTGTATTTTCTGGATTCAGTTGGCTAATATTTGGTTGAGGGTTTTGTATCTATGCATATCAGTTATTGGCCTGTAGTCACTCCCTTTTTTTTCTTTGCAATGTCTTTATCTGGTTTTGGTATCAGGGTAATTCTGACCTTATAGAATGAATTTGAAAGTTCCCTTTCTCTTCCATTTTTGGAGATAGTTTAGGAAGAATAAATATTATTCATGATCCCAGGATTGAGGGATCAAGTCCCGTGTTGGGCTCTACACTGAGTATGGAGCTTGCTTAAGATTCTCTGTCTCTCCTGCTGCCCTCTGCCTCACTCATCTCTCTCCTTATAAAACAAAAGCAAAAACAAAAAAACCCAAAAACCTGGTATAATTCACCCGTGAAGCCATCTGGTCCTGGACTTTTGTTTGTTGGAAGTTTTTTTATTTCTGACTCAATTTCATTAGTGGCAAACAATCTGTTCCAATTTTCTATTTCTTCCTGATTTATTTTTTGGAAGTTGTATGATTCTAAGAATTTGCCCATTTCTTCTAGGTTGTCCAATTTGTTGGCATACAATTTTTCATAATATTCTCTTTGTATTTATGTTGTGTTCATTTTTATTTCTCCTCTTTTATGATTTTGTTTTTGTCCTCTCTCTCTTTTGATAAGTCCAGCAAAGGGTTATCAATTTTGTCAAACTTTTTAGCTCCTGCTTTCATTGAACTGTTCTACTGTGTGGTGGTGGTGTTTTGAGTTTAGATTTCATTTAGTTCTGCTCTAATCTTCATTATTTCCTTCCTTTTACTGCTTTTGTGTTTTGTTTTTTCTTTTTCTAGTTCCTTTAAATGTAAGGTTAGATTGTTTATTTGAGATCTTTCTTGCTTCCTAGATAGGCCTGTATTATAAACTCCCATCTTAGAACATCTTTTGTTGCATACCAAAGATTTTGGACTATTGTATTTCTATTTACATATGTCTCTGTGCATTTGTAACTGTTTATTTGATTTCTTGGTTGACTCATTATTTGGTAGCATGTTATTTAGTTTCCATCTATTTGGGTTCTTTTCCAGATTTTTTTCTTGTGGTTGATTTCTAGTTTTATAGTGTTGTAGTAAGAAATGATGCATTATATGACTTTAATCATTTTTAATATTTTGAGACTTGTTACCTAACATGTGATCTATTCTGAAGTATATTCCATGTGCACTTGAAGACAACGTGTATGTCACTGTTTTAGCATTGAAAGTTATAAATATATGTGTTGGATTCATCTGTTCCAATGTGTCATTCAGAGGCACTGTTTTGTTGATTTCTGTTTGGATGATCTATACTATGATTTAAGTCAGGTGTTAAAGTCCCCTACTATTGTACTATTGATTACTCTGTTTATGTTTGTTAATAGCTGCTTTATGTATTTGGGTGCTTTCATTTTAGGTGCATAAATATTTACAAATGTTATATTTTTTCTTGTTGGACTATTCCTTTTATGATTATGTAGTGTCCTTTATCTTTTGTTATGGTCTTTGTTTTAAAGTCTATTTTCTCCAATGTAATTATTGCCATCCTAGATTTTTTCACTCCATTTGCATGATGAATGCTGTTCCATCACTTTATTTTCATTCTGCATGTGTCTTTAGATCTGAAATGAGTCTCTTGTAGGCACATCTAGATGGGTCTTGTATTTTTATCCATTTCATTACCCCATGCCTTTTGATTGGATCATTTAGTCCATTTATGTTCAAAGTAATTATTGATAGGTATATGCTCATTGCCATTTTGCTACTTGTTTTATAGTTGTTTTTGTAGTTCTTCTCTTTTCTTGCTCCCTTCTCTCACAGTTTGCTGGCTTTATTGGTATGCTTAAATTAATTTCTCTTCAATTTTTGCAAATATTAATTTTTAATTTGTCTTACCATTACGTTTGTACATAAAATCTTGAGCATATAGCAGTTTATATTAAGTTGATGGTCACTTAAGTTTGAACCCATTCTAAAAGCACTAAATTTTTACTCCTTTCCCTGCCATGTTTTAGGTATATGGTATTGTACTTTACATCCTTTTATTTTCTGAATCTCTTAACTGATTTTTATAGATATACTTAATTTTACTGCTTTTGTGCGTCCTACTTTTCTTACTCCTGTTTATGGTCTTTCCTTTCCAGTCAAAGAATCCTCTTTTACATTTCTTCTAAGGCTGCTCTATTGGTGGTGATTCCTCTAATCTTTGTCTAGGAAACTCTTTATCTTTTATTCTGAACCACAGCCTTACTGGATAGAATATTCTTGGTTGCAGGTTTTTTTTCCTTTAATCACTTTGAATACATCATGCCACTCCCTTCTGGTCTGTAAGCTAATGCTGAAAAACAGCTGATGGGCCTTATGGGGTTCCCTTTCCATATGTAAGTGTTTTCCTTGTCATTTTAAAGTTTTTTCCTTTAGCAGTTTTTTAGCCATTTTAATTACTGTGTGTTAGTGTGGAACTCTGGTGGTTGATTTTGTTAGGGGCTCTCTGTGCCTCCTGGATCTGGATTTCTGTTTCCCTTTCCAGATTCAGGAAGTTTTCAGCTATTATTTCCTTAATTACATTTTCTTCCCACTTTTCCCTCTCATCTCCTTATGCAATTCCTATAATGCAAATGTTATCATGGTTGGTGGTGTTGCTGAGTTCCCTTAATCTATTCTTATTTCTTTCTCCATTTTCAGGTTAGTTCCTTTTCATTATTCTATCCTCCAAATCACTCATCCATCTTCTGCTTCTTCTAATCTATATTTCCCTTTAGTGTATTTTTAATTTCAGTTATTGAATTTTTCATCTCTGGTTCATTTTTATATTTTCTTTTTATTGTGGGTCTCACCGAGATCCTCCACTCTTTTCACAAGTCCAGTGAGTATATTTATGGCAAATACTTTAAATTCTCTGTCGTATGTATTACTTACCTTTGTTTATCTCTCTTGCTATGATTTTGTCCTGTCTTTCATTTGGGACACATTCCTCTGCCTCCTTATTTTGTCTGTTCTATGTTTTAAGAAAGTCACCTAACTCTCCTTTCTTGTAAGTAGTGTCCTTTTAAGTATGATGTCCTGTAATGCCCTGCTGTATAATGTCTCCTATTAACCAGAACCTAGCACTTCAGAGTTATCTCCTATGTGTATTGTGTGCACTGTGCTTTCTGGATGAGCTGTTTGTCCTTGGACCAGTCATATACAATTGTGCTCTTTGCCTGTTGTAGGGAAGGTTTTAGTCCCTGTATTTTTTTTAAGTGTTTAAGCTTATTTATTTATTTAGAGTGCTAAAGAGGGAGAGAGAGAGAATCAGAAGCAGGCTCCACACCATATGCATGGAACCCAATGCTAGACTCAAACTTATGAACTGTGAGATCATGGCCTGGGCTGAAATTGAGAGTTGGACACTTAATCGCCTGAACCTGGACTAGTGTAGGGTAACCTTAGGCTACAGTTGATTCAGACCAGGCATTTGCCAAAGCTACTACTGTATAGAACTGCAGAACATAATCTCTGTGTTGTATTCTGAGAATGTTTTTTTTTATAGGCAGGGCCTGCTCTCAGAATAGATGTCTGCTGCCTGTCCAGTGCTAGGGCCACAGTAAGAGAGGTGTATGTGGTTATCTTCCCTTCTCCCCAGAGAAGGAGGCACTTCGAAGTCATACTTGCCTCTGGGCTGCTTGTACACTGCCATGCTTGTGGTATGACTTTGGATGGACTCTTGCCAAGGTCATATTGGTGGTGGCCAGTCATGGTCTTAGTAAGGTTTGCACGGATGTGCTTGGAGGATAGCTGTAGCATCTTTGGAAAACTGCTGAGAGCTGGTTAGAAGGGATGGAGCCACAGAAGAGCACAGGGATGAAGCATGCAATTAGCAAGTTAGGTGGAGAGTGTTCAAGGTGGTTTCTGCATGTGCCCTTGTATGTATAAATTGGCACATATTTTCTTTAAAAATAACCATAAGATGTATTTAACATGGAAAAATGCATAAATCATATTTAAATGTTTCCTAATGTACAGATTATTAGAAAATACAAATTATAGGTTCTGCAGATTATAAATTTTTACATCACACATAATATGTTTGTCATCCATATTGTCATCACTATCCATGACACAAAATTGTGGTTGTATTAGAATAAATTTAGTTCAAATTTATAGTCTTAAAACTCAGCTATACAAAGGAAACAACAGTAAAATATGTATAAAATCTACAACTGAATAAGATTTTCAAAATTTCCCACTGCACAGATTTTCTATTACACTTAGTTGCTTAATAACACACTCATGAATTTCATTTCTCCAATCTCTTTACACCTACTTAAAAGTATATGTGAATGCTGAAAAATTCTAATCCATACCTCCATTTCTTCAAGTTCAAATCTTCTTGTGTCTTTGCAGATATGGATTCCTGTTCTCAGAAATTCTTGACAAGTTCCAAATCTTCTAGAGGCCCAGGAAAGGCCTTATTCCAGTCATTCAAGGGCTAAGGCAGAGTCAGAGATATTGCCAATCTTTGGATCCTTTTAACACAGTGAGTAGTTTCAATTTACTGTGAAGGACAGTTTAACAGTCCACAGATCAAAACTTTAACACCATCTTCTCTGTCGATAAGCAGTGTCCTAATGAAGTCTTTTACATGGAAATTCAAATATCTGAGATACTCACCTATAGGGTAAAGAATTGCTTGGCAGACTTATCTTTGCTCAGAGGATATGGCCCTAATGTCCTACAGTGGGTAAAGTGTGGAAGCCTTGTAGCTTCTATTTCTTTCAATGCAGATTTATATTTGTAGGATATCACAAGGGTATTTGTTTACTGGGACAGTGGGAAAAATGCTTTATTTTGGTTGCTAATGTGGGTAAATCTTCAGTTTTAGTGCCAAAATGTTGATCTTTTCCATTAACAAAATTGCCTGTTCTCTTTTTTAAATTATTTTTAAGTGTTTGGAAGTATTTTATTTCTCTTAAATATCATGATTTTACTTTGGAAAGTAAAGTAATATACATGATAACAAGAATTTTATATAAGCATTGAACTTAACATGTGTATGTACACAATATTCTCAAATCAAGATATTTATGTAACAATGGACTCAGTATCTGAGGACAGATTCTAAAAAAAGCCTGTAAAACATTAAAATTTAATGATCATCTCCTTATAGAAAGCCAAAGGATCGTTATATATGTATGTTCCCCCTATGTTTTGACACAATTCATTGCTATCCTTTTATATATATATATAAATGTATAAAACATATATAAAGTTAGCACTTTGGTTTCTGCAGAAAATAGTCAACTACTTATTTGAAAATACCAATTACAAAAGAATCTCAGGAGGCCAGGACTAAGGTACCTAAGTGCATTATTAAAATGAATCACATCCCTTGAGTTTTATCACTAGATAAGTTTACTCAACCTGGCAAATTTTATAAGCATAAACAAAATAGAGAACATACAGAGGGAATATATTCTGAGGTATTTTTCTTTCATTATTTACTTTACATGTAAAGGATCAATTTTATTCTCTATTCAAACAATACAAATAAACACTTACTTATCCCTTGCTTTTGGTAATGATTTGCAACAAAATCTTTGGAGTCCTTTTCATCTTGTTTATTTAGCAGTAATTATCAAATTGTTTTTAACTTTGAATTGTGCATATCAATTCCAGTTATACTACAACTTCAAGTTCATATTATTTGCCAAAAGTTCTTATTATTTGCCGAAAGAATAGATACCAAATCAGAGAAAAAGTATGCATTATGATCAGAAACCTTAATATAGACAGATTTATATTTCTGCTCATTAGTATGAATGGAATATTCCTGATATGAAGCTGTATCTAGTACTGATAATGTTTTCCTAGGATGATTATGAAGTAAAATCTAAAAAGTATGTTAACAACATATGCCTATTCAAAAAGTTTCAGATGATGTCACTTTTTAATGATAGCAATTTTCACATTTTTTCCTATATTTAAATTGCATGGGCCATCACTTAAATAATCCATATTTTCCAAGGTTGTTTTGACATTAATAGCATTTTACTGCAGTTATTCTTTAACATTGTTCAATTACTGTACTTGAGAAATGCCATAGCCTTTTTTATTTAACAGTTTCTTATGATTTACTGAAGTCTGTGACTGAAATGAAAGAGACTACCAAAATTGAGAACGTTAAGATTGACAGGTGTGATAAAAAAAAAGCAAGTCACAGTTGGACCTAGAAGTCATCAGCCAAAGTCACTTAATCCAAAAAATGCTGCTAACATCAAATCGAACTGCTTTCTGATATTAGCAACTATGCTGGAAAATAACAAGGTAAATGCATACTAACTTTATGTTTATTAAAATAGTACAAGGATATAAGTATATAAGGATACATAGTAATTGTGTAATTATATATACATATATATTATTATATAGAGACATATTATACATATAGCAGCATAAGTCTTAATTTCATCTCCTCCCTCTACATTATCAGTCCTACTGTGACAAGATAAAATTCCTAATTGTGTAATCTATTTATTATGGTACTTACCTTTATATTTCTAGATAATTTTATATCTGTGTTTTGATCAATTAGAGATGAACATCTACCTTTTTTGCCCCAATGCAATATACTTCTCTCTGTTTACTCCTTAGTTATATCACAATTTCTGATTGAATCAGTAATTAGTTTCATAGCATGTTATCTATATCATTTACCATGATTAATTTTTCTTGTGCGCAATGTTGCAAAGTTTTGGTTTTGAGTTAATATTGCTTTATGTTTCACCTACAAATTTCCAAACACCAATTCTTATTTCGACCTATTAGCTTTGTCATAGTTTAAATACATATACTTTTTGTTTGCCTTATTTGCCCAAAAGACATACTTACTGTTTTCTCAGTCTCCCTGTTTCACTTGGGTCTGGTTGCACTCTTTTTTACATTTATCACATTCTTGTACTACAAGCATTCTTCCAGGAGCTTAGGAAGAAAAGATGGTGGGAATATTAAACCTTTTTTTTTTTAAATAATTCCAGTTAATGTAGTGTAAAATTAATTTCATTGTACAGTTTATTGATTTGATACTTATGTACAGTACATGGTGTTCATCACAAGTGCACTCCTTAATCTCCATCACGTATTTCACCCAGTCTGCCACCCATTTCCCCTCTGGTAACCATCAGTTTGTTCTCTGTAGAACAGTATGTGTCTTGGTTTCCTCTCTCTTTTTTCCCCTATACTCACTTGTTTTGTTAATGTGTTTTTTTTTTTTTTACAAATAGTTTATTGTCAGGTTGGTTACTATATAACACCCAGTGCTCATCCCCACAAGTGCCCCCTCCATGCCCATCCCCCCCTCCCCCCCACATCCATCACCCCAGTTTGTTCTCAGCATTCAAGAGTCTCTCATGGTTTGCCTCTCTCCCTTTCCCCCACCATTTCCCCCCTTCTTCTCCCCCATGGTCCTCCATTAAGTTCCTCCTAATCCTCCTATACGTGCAAACATATGGTATTTGTCCTTCTCTGCCTGACTTATTTCGCTAAGCATAACACCCTCAAGGTCCATCCATGTTGCTACACATGGCCAGATTTCATTGTTTCTCATTGCCATGTAGTATTCCATGGTATAGATAAACCACATCTTCTTGATCCATTCGTCCGTTGATGGACACTTAGGCTCTTTCCATGTTTTGGCTATTGTTGAGAGTGCTGCTATGAACATTGGGGTACATGTGCTCCTATGCATCAGCACTCCTATACCCCTTGGGTAAATTCCTAGCAGTGCTATTGCTGGGTCATAGGGGAGTTCTATTGTTAATTTTCTGAGGAACCTCCACACTGTTTTCCAGATGGGCTGCACCCGTTTACATTCCCACCAACAGTGTAGGAGGGTGCCCATTTCTCCACATCCTCGCCAGCATCTAGCGTTCTCTGATTTGCTCATTTTAGCCACTCTGGCTAAATTTGTTCCATACAAATTTTAGGATAGTTTGTTCTAGTTTTGAGAAGTATGCTGGTGCAATTTTGATTGGGATTGCATTGAATGTGTAGATTGCTTTGGAAAGAAATGACATTTTAACTATATTTATTCTTCCTATCCATGAGCATGGAATGTTTTTCCATTTCTTTGTGTCTTCTTCAATTTCCTTCATAAGTTTTCTATAGTTTTCATCATACAGATCTCTTGTATCCTTGGTTAGGTTTATTCCTAGGTATTTTATGTTTTTTTGTGCAATTGTGAATGGGATCAGTTTCTTGATTTCTCTTTCTGTTGCTTGATTGTTGCTGTATAAAAATGCAACCGATTTCTGTACGTTGATTTTGTACCCTGCAACTTGGCTGAATTCTTGGATCAGTTCTAGTAGGCTTCTGGTGGAGTCTGTCGGGTTTTCGATGGAGAGTATCATGTCATCTGCGAAGAGAGAAAGTTTGACTTCCTCTTTGCCAATTCTGATGACTTTGATCTCCTTTTGTTGTCTGATGGCTGATGCTAGGACTTCCAGCACTATGTTAAACAACAGTGGTGACAGTGGACATCCCTGTCGTGTTCCTGATCTCAGGGGGAAAGCTCTCAGTTTTTTCCCCATTGAGGATGATGTTAGCTGAGGGCTTCTCATAGATGGCTTTTATGATGTTTAAGTAAGTTCCTTCTATCCCGACTTTCTCGAGAGTGTTTATTAAGAAGGATGTTGTATTTTGTCAAATGCTTTTTCTGCAACTATTGACAGAATCATATGGTTTTTATCTTTTGTTGATGTGATGGATCACATTGATTGATTTGCAAATGTTCAACCAGCCCTGTAACCCAGGAATGAATCCCACTTTATCTTGGTGGATAATTCTTTTTATGTGCTGTTGGATTCGATTTGCAAGTATCTTGTTGAGGATTTCTGCATCCATATTCATCAAGGATATTGGCCTGTAGTTCTCTATTTTTTTTGCTGGACCTTATACTCGTTTTTTTCCTTAAATTTCACATATGAGTGAAATCATATGGCAATTGTCTTTCTGTGACTTAGACTTTGCCTAGCATTAGACTCTAGCTCCATCCATATTCCTTGCAAGTGGTAAGATTTCATTCTTTTTATGGCTGAGTAATATTCAGTAATATGGCTGAATAATGGCACCAGAATATTCTGGTGCATGTTTAACTGCACCAGATATTCATATATTCACCATCTGATGGACATTTGGGCTGTTTACATAATTTGGCTATTGTAGATAATGCTGCTATAAACATGGGGGTGCATATATCCTTTTAAATTAGTATAGTTCTATTTTCAAGGCACCTCCACACCATTTCTCACAATGACTGCACCAGTTTGCATTCCCACCAACAGTGTAGGAGGGTTTCCCTTTCTGTTGTTTCTTGTGTTGATTTTAGCCATTCTGACAGGTATGAGGTAGTATCTCATTTAGTTTTGTATTTTGTTTAGGAAGGGTGATGAGTATCTTTCTATGTTTCTGTTGGCCATCTGTAGGTCTTCTTTGGAAAAATATCTATTCATGTCTTCTGCCCATTTTTAATTGCATTATTTTTTTTACTAGATGCTATGTTTTATGGAAGTTCTGTATATATTTTTGATACTAACCCTTTATCAGATATATCATTTCCAAATAACTTCTCCCATTCCATAGGTTGCCTTTTAGTTTTGATTTTTTTCCTTCACTGTACAGAACCTACAACTATATGATTAATATTTGACTAAGCAGGAAAGAATATCCAATGGGAAAGACCATCTCTTCAACAAATAGTGTGGGGAAAACTTGACCACTGTCTTACACCATATACAAAAAAATCCTAAAAAGGATTAAAGACCTAAATTTGAGACATGAAACCATTAAAATCCTAGGAGAGAACACAGGCAATAACCTCTTTGACATTGGCCATAGCAATTTCATCATACAGTATGTCTTCTGAGAAAAAGGAAACAAAAGCAAAAATAATCTTCTGCATATCAAAGGGAACAATCAGCAATGGAATATTAAACAATTACTTATAAGAAAATACCTTTATTATAATCTTTTATCTGATCTTAAAATATATATATTACATATATAATAGAGCAAGCCAGTCAAAAGATATATATATATATGGCTGCTAGCCAGTCGAAATTGAGAATCTTACCTTAAATTTTTTCCTTTGACCCACTGCTGCTCTCCATTGCACTTATGACCTTCTTATTCAATCTTATATATATGATCCCTTTTACCAATCCAATTCAAGTCTATCAGAATAAATGATAATTTTTATTTCAAACACTTTGCTTGGAACTATATGCAATATAGTACATTACTGTCCTCTTAGTGGGATTTTAAAAGGGGAATAAATACATTCTCATATGTTATATTTAGCTAAATGTTCTTACTAGATACACATTTAATATTTATTAATCTCTTTAGAAGACTCATTATTAACTCTATTTTAATAATAAACATTCTTTTGGCCACATGTAGATTATTTTTATAAATTTTAATATTAAAATATTTAATGTAACCTACTAAATTATTACAAGAAATTATCCTTAAACATTAATTTTCCTTTTAAAGAAATAGCAACATTGTGATAGGATATGCATGCAATAGCATCACATATTTAAAATGTACAATATATTTTAGTTGATTCAGAATTGTACTGCTATCACCACTATTACTGAATACTTTTAACACTCCAAAAGGAAAGTCTGTATACATAAGCACTTATTCCCCACATCCCTCTACACTCCCAGCTCTAGACCACCACTCTTTTATTTTCTCTATGAATTTCCCTATTCTGGACCTTTCATATAAATGGAATAATATGTGGTCTTTTGTGATGGGATTCTTTCATATAGCATAATGTTTTCTTTTTTCCTACCTTTCTTGAAATGTAGATGATATACAACATTGTGTAAGTTTAAGCATCTGATAAAGCATATATGGACACTGACAGGTTAACACCTCACATAATTTCCTATTTTGCATATGTAGTGATCCCATTTAAGATCTTCTTAACACTATTATATACCTAAAACATGCTAACTGTAGTCATCATGCAACACATTATATCACCAGAACTTACTCAACTTGTAATGGAAATTTGTACCCTTGTACTAATTTGTATATACATACAAATGCACGTAGCAGGTATGGTTATTCCACCAAGGCATTCCTGACATTTAATTGTAAAAATTTATATTAAATAGAAATATATGATTTTAAAGAACTTCAAAATTGTACTTTTCTCTTAAATATTAATAGTAAAATTTTAAAGAATTGTAGATCTGCTGTTTGCTAATCAAAATAGACCATATGACAAAGGACATATATCTCCATTAAAT